CTATACCTGAATGCCCAGTCTGTGGTGCCGATGACCATTCTAATACGTCTTGCAGTCAACCTCCCTCTTGCCTTAATTGTCATGAGGCTCACCCTTCGTACTCTCGCTATTGCCAGGTCTACTTAAATGAGCGTGAAATCCGTTGCCTCAAAGAGGCAGAAGGTCTCCCTTATGCTATGGCAGTTTCTCATCTCCGCCTCCAAGGGAGACTACCCTGTGTTTCTTATTCTCGTGTTTCCAAACGTCCCCCCCCACTTCTGGGGTCCCATCTTCTGCAGCCTCCTCTGTGGTTACCCCTCCCATAGCCACTCTGGTATCTAATTCTTTTGCTGTCCTGGCCTCAGACGTCCCTACTACAACACCTCAGTCTGTTCTCACATCTTCACGTCCTTCCTCACAAGCCCTGGTATCAACAAGACCTCTTACGACACCTTATACCAATCGCCCCTCTACTTCTCAGAAGTCCAAAAAATCCCCATTGCTCAAATCTTCTTTGCCCCCTCCTTTCCTTCTTCCACCTCCACATTTTACCTTTCCAGTCTCTGTGCCTAGTTCTTCCCCTCTCACTGGCTCTATTACAAGTGTGGAGGCTCACCCTCCTCCTCGTACTGTGCCTTCCACCCCCATCCCCTCCCAAGTTTCTCTCTCTTCTGCCACCTCCCAGGTTTCTGCCTCTTCTGTCCCCTCCCACACTTCTTCTCCAGTCTCCTACACTCTTTTGTCCCTTCCCTACTTTGGTACAGTCCATTACTGTCCCAATCTTTACTCACCCTCCTCCTTCTACCTCCAATATTGTGTCCAATACATCTTTGAATTCAGAAACACTTGAAGCCATTTCAGAATGTATTGCAGAGACTAAACCTTCAATGGACACTGATCTACCTCCTGTTCCTTCTCCTCCCTCCCCTCCATCTCCACAACTTTCTTCGCAACGCTCCGTTCCTTCGCTGCTTAAATATCTTCCGATGCCACCACACATAGACTTTTCTAACCCCCTCTAGTCCGTAGGTGCCCTTACCTGAGAATTCCTGGTATTTTCCTCGTTGCCAATCATGGCCTATTTACAGTGGAGTCTCTGCGGCCTCAGGATTAATTGGGGTGAGCTTCAAATGCTGCTTTCCCGGTTTTACCCTGTTGGTGTTTGCTTACAAGAACCAAAATTACACTCTACTGTTTTCCAACCCATCTCGGGCTATAATTTATTGTATTCTTCGGATCCTTTTTCTGATGGAACCTTTAATGAAAGCACCCTTCTTCTATGCAGTGATATTCCATACCGTCCACTATTTGTTCATACCTTGCTGCATTACACTGCAGCCCGTATCCACTTGAATAAGTGGTTTACAATATGTTCTTTGTATCTCTCTCCTTCTCGGGCATTATCTATCCCAGATTTTCCCTTTCTTGTTTCATCCTTACCACCGCCACTTCTGTTACTTGGCAATTTTAATGCCCACCATTTCCTCTGGGGGGGGTCTCATTGTGGCTCACGTGGCATTTAGTTGGAGGCTTTTCTCGCCTCTCACCCCCTCCATGTTTTAAATACGGGTACTCCCACCCATTTTGATCCTCATACTCATACTCTCTCTTGCATCGATCTATCAGTCTGCTCTTCCTCCACTGCACTAGACTTCGCCTGGTCTGTTCTACCGGACTTACATGACAGTGATCATTTCCCAGTCATTCTTACTTCTCCTTCATATTCACCACCTCTCCGTAGCCCTAGCTGGCAATTTGATCAGGCAAATTGGGATCTTTATTCGCAACTCACTGCTTTTAGTGAGGTTCCTTCTTCATCCTCCATTGATGAGTTCCTACACCTCTTCTCGACGTCAGTTTTAACCCCAACTTCTCATTCTATACCCCCAAACCTCAGGCAGACATTCTCAGAAGTGAGTGCCTTGGTGGTCTCCTGCTTGTGCTCGTGCAGTACATGTGAAACGTGCTGCATGGGGCAGGTACCAGTACAATAGAACTGCTGAGAGACTTCTTGATTTTAAGCAGAAACATGCGGTCGCTCCCCATGTCATCCGTGATGCTAAACGCACTTGCTGGCAAGATTGTTTCCACCATCACCTCTGCTTCTTCTATGAGTGCAGTCTGGAAAAAATGAGGAAATTGAGTGGTAAATACTCTCCTGACCCGGCTCCTGTTCTACGGGTCACCAGTGTTGATATAGCAAACCCTCTTGACGTTGCCATTGAAACTGGCACCCATCTGCTCCGTATTTCTCGGGGGCTCCATCTATGCCCCTCGTTTCTTTCCTCAAAGTCTGCCAGAGAGTTAGCACCCTTGGACTTTTCTTCTCTCAGAGAAGAACAGTATAATGTGCCTTTTACACTTCAGGAACTGAAGGCAACACACTCAACTTGCCGATCATGGGCAGCTGGGCCTGACGACATTCATATTCGGATGTTGCAACATTTAAATCAGTCAGCCCTTGCAGTCCTCTTACACCTCTTCAACCTTATTTGGTCACAAGGAGTTCTTCCCCAGCAGTGGAAATCTGCCATTGTTCTTCCTTTCCGCAAACCGGGTACTATGGGACGCCTCCCACTATCGTCCCATTGCTTTTACCAGTGCAGTTTGCAAAGTGATAGAACGTCTGGTAAGTCGACGTTTAATGTGGTATTTAGAGACACACAACAGTCTCTCCACTAGTCAATATGGCTTTCGTAAGGGCCGTTCTACCATAGACCCCTTACTATGCTTGGATACATATGTTCGTAATGCATTTGCGAATAACCACTCGGTTATTGCCATATTTTTTGACCTTGAGAAGGCATATGACACAACTTGGAGGTATAATATTTTGGCCCAAGCCCACTCCTTAGGCCCCCGAGGCAATCTACTATCCTTCCTTAAGAACTTTTTAACTGACAGACATTTCCGTGTTCGGGTTAATAATGTGCTCTCCCCAGACTTTGTCCAAGCTGAAGGTGTCCCCCAGGGATGTGTTCTGAGCACAACACTTTTTCTCCTTGCTATAAATGATCTGGCCTCGAGTCTTCCATCCAATATTTGGTCATCCCTCTATGTTCATGACTTCGCTATTGCTTGTGCAGGCGCTGACTGTCACCTCATTAGAGTTTCTCTCCAGCATGCGGTTGACAGTATTTCCAATTGGGCCACCACACATGGGTTTAAATTTTCCAGTACCAAAACTCATCAAATTACTTTCACTAGACGCTCTGTCATCTCCGATCATCCTTGGTACCTCTATGACTCCCGTATCCATGAACGTGATACAGTCAGGTTTCTAGGCCTTCTCTTTGACCGTAGGTTATCCTGGAAACCCCACATTACCTCTTTGAAGGCAACTTGTCACAGCCGGCTGAGCCTTCTTAAAACCCTTGCTCATCTTTCATGGGGAGCTGATCGTTGAACTCTCCTTTGCCTACATTCAGCCCTCATTTTGTCGAAACTCGATTATGGTGACCAGATCTATTCAGCGGCCTTTCCTGCTACTCTCTCCAGCCTTAACCCCATCCATCACCAAGGATTACGTTTGTGCCTTGGTGCTTTTTGCTCTTCCCCTGTTGAGAGCCTCTATACAGAAGCGAATGTTCCATCCTTGTCCGATCGCTGTGATGCCCATTGCCTTCGTTACTATACGCTCTAATGATCTCCGCAATCCTTCCATTTATAGAATGGTCACCGATATTAGTAGACATTCTTTATTTGTTCGCCGTCCCTGTTTGCTCCATCCCTTCTCTCTTCGCCTACATTTGCTCTTGTCTTCCCTTCAATTACCACCTTTCTGTGTTCATGTGGCATCTCACTTTTTCCCTACGCCCCTGGGAAGTTCCAACTGTTCGAGTCTGTTCTTTCTCACTCCCTTGCTCGAAAGCCCAACTACCTACGGTAGCTTCCCGCTTTCTTTTTCTTGACCACTTCCACTCTCATTCTCATGCCATCGCAGTGTACACAGATGGCTCTAAGTCTTCTGACGGCATCGGATTCGCAGCAGTGTTTCTGGACAGCGCCGTGCGAGGGCATTTACTATCTTCGACTAGCATTTTTACTGCCGAATTGTATGCCATTCTTGCAGCACTTATCCATATTGCATCTATGCCTGTGTCATCATTTGTGGTTGTCTCAGACTCCCTTAGTGCTCTACAGGCTATACGGAAATTTGATACACCTCACCCCCTAGTTCTCCGTATCCAACTTTGGCTATGCCGCATCTCTACCAAGCATAAAGATATTGTTTTTTGTTGGGTCCCTGGTCATGTTGATGTACAGGGCAATGAACAGGCAGACACTGCTGCACGGTCAGCAGTACATGACCTACCAGTTTCATATAGAGGTATTCCATTTACAGACTATTTTGCTGTAATAGCTACCCACTTTCAAACCCGTTGGCAACAACGTTGGTCTAATCTGCTCGGTAACAAACTTCAGTCTATTATACCGAGTATAGGTAACTGGCCGTCTTCTTGTCATCAGCGTCGAGGTTGGGAGACTACTCTCTCCCGTCTTCGCATTGGCTACACTCATCTTACTCATGGGTATCTCATGGAGTGGTGCCCTGTTCCTCTCTGTGAGAAGTGTCAGGTTCCAGTATTGGTTAGCCACATTCTGTTAGACTGCCCTCTCTATCAACGAGTACGCAGAATTTACCTCCGTCGTCGTCTCCCCTCTCCTACTCTTTCTTTACCTTCCCTTCTTGCTGATGGACCCTCCTTTAATCCTGACTCTCTCATTGACTTCTTGACAACGACTGATTTACTCCACAAACTCTGATGATGATACCTTTCGCACTCCCCTCAGCCCTTTCTACCTCAATCTTTTGCTGCCCTCTACCTTTTCACTATCCACTGCCCCACTGTTCTCCATAACCTACTACTCATCCCTCTCCCTTTTGCCACCTGATACCCTCGCTTCCTTCCTGCCCTGCAGTGCTGTATAGCCCTTGTGGTTTAGCGCTTCTTTTTTATTATAATAATAATGACCTTAAGTAGTGATATTAACTCATATTTTGAAAGTGTGTAACTAAGTGCGGTGTCTTCTCCCTTGCAGGTCACTGTCGGCTGATGATAAACGGTTGTCCTTAGCAGCAGACATTCACATGGGCATATGTACCTTATGAATAGCATTTTAATACAATTTAATATTTGAATTGGTTCTCATAAATGTCCACAACCATGGAACACCAAGAGGCTGGTGATCTTTGCCAATATACACCTGATCATCACCAACATACAGGTGAGAACCATCAACAAACCACTGGGCTCCAACAGCAGACCACTGAGAGTCACCAAGTGTATGGTGAGCATTACCAAAATGGAAATGACAAGTGCCAGCAGACAGCTGAGGACCATCAGCAGTCTGGGACCTCAACCAAAACCAAAGTACACCGTTGTCACACATGTCAGCTGGCATATTCCACAGCATCAGAACTACAAAAACACATGAAGATTCATGACCCAAACAAGCCTTATCAGTGTCAACATTGCAGTAAGAACTTTCATACCAAAACTGGTCTTGATATTCATGCAAAAAAACATACAGGCAAAAGACCATACAAGTGTGATGAATGTGATAAGGCATTCATAACAAAACCAGTCCTTGTTATGCATATGAGAGGTCATACTGGGGAGAAACCTTATGAGTGCAAGGTTTGTCATGCAAGGTACACACAAAGTTCAACTTTAGCTGACCATATGCGGCGTCATACAGGAGAAAAACAATATCAATGTCCTGTTTGTTATAAAAGATTTATTACTAGAATTAATTATCGACATCATGTGTGTGTGTGTCTCGGAACAAGTAGATTTGAATGTAAATTCTGTAACAAAAAATGTCCAAGTACCTCTTCTCTAAATCACCACATAAAGACCCATACTGGTGATAGGCCTTTTGAATGTGCAGAATGTGGAAAATGCTTTATTAATAAGTCAGCCTTGTCAGTACATATTAAAATTCATACAAATGAGAAACCTTTTAAGTGTGATGTGTGTAACGAATGCTTTGCTTTTAAAAGATCCCTGAATTTACATAAAGAGATTCATTTAGACGGTAAACCTTTTCAGTGTGAAAAATGTGGAATGGTACTTAGCTCTATGAGTTGTCTTCGACGTCATGAAGTGGGGCAGTTCTCATGCATGAAAAATTTGTCATTTAAACAATGGTTATGTAAAATATGTGGAAGGCAGTTTCACACTAGACTAATGGCCAGACGTCACAGAGAGGAATGTGATTTAAGAACTGTACATGTAAGTTTCTGCTGTGACTTCTGCCGTCAGGAATATAAAACTTGCAGTGCTTTGGCAAAACATCTGCTTGAACATGCTAAACCTGGTGGCCTTGGTTATGAAGACTTACTCAGTGAAATGTCTACTTACAGTAATGAAGAATATAACCCGGCCTTGCTAGTGCAGAGATACAACAAATCTGTTAAACACACTGATAGTGATACATCAGTCATTAATCACATTGACAGTAATGCTTCAACCAAAACTTTGCTCTTAAATCATCTCTTACAAAACCTGATAAGACTCTTGTTGAAAATAAAATATTTCAGTGTGATAAATGTGGAAGAAAATATAGTACTCTGTATCGCCTTCAACATCATGAAGAGAAGCTAAAGCTAAATGCGATCAAGACAAAACGTACCTTTGAAAATTTCTTATGCAGAACATGTGGAAGGCAATATGCCAGCAAAGGAAATGCTACTCGCCATATGCAGGACTGCAGTGACGACAACGTACATGCATTTTTTTTCTGTGACTTCTGCAATCAGGATTATGGAACATACGAAGGTTTAGTAAAGCATCTGCTGGAGCATGCTAAACCTGGGGGCCACGGTTATGAAGATTTACTCAGCAAGATGACTGAAGATGATGATGAAAACCCAGCCTTGATAGTACAGAAATACAACATCTCTCGGAATAATGTTAATAGTGACACTTCTCACCAACAAACAGGTAATACTGCCAGTCGAAATGCACAACATATGTACAACTCTCGGACAACTGGTCATGATAAGACTCATGCCAATAATAAAATAATTCAGTGTGAAAAATGTAAAAAAATTTTCAAAAATGTGAATAATTTTCAATATCACAAAGCCAGGCCGTTTGCATGCATGAATTTCTTTGCATTAAAACTATACTTATGTAGGATATGTGGAAGGCAATACAGTGCATTAAAAATTGCTAGACAACATAGACGGACATGTAATTCGAAAACTGTACGTGTAAGATTTTTCTGTGACTTCTGTCGTCATGAATCTGGATCATATGAAACTTTCATCGAACATTTGCTTATGCATGTTGAGCCTGGGGGCTATGGTTATAAAGACTTACTCGGTAACTTATCAAATTGCAGCAATAATGACTGCAACCCAGCCTTGCTTGTACATGAATATAATGTATTTAATTATACATACAAAACCAAAAACCCACCAGCAAACCGTGTTCCAATTGTGGATAATTCTAGTCCCACTGGGACCACAAGTCCACCAGCTAGCCTTGCACCATCTGTAGATAATTATAGTTCCACTGTGGCCACAAGCCCATCAGCAAACCTTGCACCATCTGTAGATAATTCTAGTTCCACTGGGACCACAAGCCCACCAGCAAGTCTTGCACCATCTGTGAACAGTTATAGGGTAACTGGAACCATAAGGCCACCTGCAAACCTTGCAGCATCTGTGGACTGCTACAGGATTCGTGTGAGAAATCAAGGACCAAACTTAGACAATTACATATCAGCAGAAAACAAATTCCCAAACTCAAATGTAGGCTACCTTGAAGCATATGTTGACAGTAATGGATCCACTGAGCACACAGACCAAATACAAAGCCAGATACAGTTGCCAGACCTAGCTGGACAACATCAGGGTCCTTCATGTTATAACACTCTTCAGGCTACACACAGTGAGTCAACCCAGCACCACAACTCTAGAGATAGTTGCACTCTCACTAAGTATTATCAAAATACAACTGTTGCTGATGGTGTACAAGTGAGCCACATTGGTGCAGGCTGTCAAATTGTACAAGAGAGAGAAATGATGGTTGAAGAACATTCTCTCGCAAGAGGATCCATATCACTGATGTGTGAGGGAAAACGTGATAATTGTTTGCGTGATAAAAGTAATTCTGATAGAACAAATATGAATTGTAAGCATAGGTACACATAATGGTAGAACGGATTTTGAAAACAAGGACATTTATGGTAACAGTTTAAACAATATGAACATGAATATTAAGAAAGATATCTTTAAAGATGATAAATACTTTGGTAGTATCCCAAACAAATTTGTGACACTAGAGCTTCCAGACTGGAATAATTTTGACACCAAAGTAATCACTGGAGCTCCTGTGATGCAGAGGAATTATGCCATAATTGAGGAAAATGAAGAAGTGTGTGTGAAGGAAGAAGGGTGGGGAAAAGTGGACAAGTGTGTGCAAGAGTTCAGCGAGTTGATGCCGGAGGTGAGGGTCCTAGAAAGCACGTCCCTTTTCACCATCAATGGTATCACTCTCATCAAGAATGAAGTGCCTCGTTCAGCTCATCCCTAAAGCTACTAGAGAGTAGGTCCCTTCTCACCATCAGTAGTATCACATTCATCAAGAATGAAGTGCCTCATCCAGCTCATCCTTTGCTTCACATTTGACTGTTTTATTCTCAATAACCTCATTGGTGTCTATTTCACATAAAACTACAATATACAATAATGTATTGTCTTTAACTTTTCTCCTACATGACAACTGGTACAGAAGATACTGTGATCCACGTCTGCCAAGCAAACACTTAACTATTGCCCTCCAGTAGTCTTGACCTCAGTAATAACCCCATCCAGAGAGCACCCAACTAACACAGGCTTAACGATTATAATTCACAGAACAGGTGGAGCTCGAACTGATAGAAAGAAAGCCCTGAACCTCATAACTGTTATTACAATTTTGTGAGTCAGTTGTATTGTTAATATCTGTGACTTATTGCATATCTTGTAATTAGTTAGAATTTTTGCAGCAAATGTTTTTATTTAATTCACTATTAGTAATTGATCTCTGGGCACACACAAATTGGCTATTGAAAAAGAAAATGGTTGATTTAACATAGGATAACTCAATTAGGGTTCCCCCCTAAATGCTTATGTTTATATTTACTGCTTGGTAAACCATCGCCAGAGGCAAGGAGACTTGCCCATATTTGCTCACCGTGTGGAAATTAAACTCAGGTCCTTTCAGTTGTGTGCAGAACGATGTACCACAGCTACAGGTCAGATGTATAGAGAAGTTTTTGCTATCTTCTGCCCATGTTTCCCCTAGCAGTAACTAGGAACCTGCATCAGTACTGTTGTAGGTCACATACTGGTGGGTTTGGAGAGGCTGTGAATCACCTGAGGCAAGATAACATCTCTTAGTTGTGTAAACTTACTTCATAGTTCAAGTTATGTGATGTATTTGGTATACAAGTTTATAAAACCAAGAAAATCTCGCTATTGAAATGAACTCCTTTATGAATTGTGGTTTTCATCATTACATTAAGACCAATGTTACTCAGGTGAAATACTATGTACTATATTTTATAAGCCTTCTTTTTTGTTCTAATTAGTGTTGTTTATATGGATCTTATTACTGTTTTGAAACTTGTATAATGCCTATTGTATAGAAAACAAAAAAATGTTATCATAAGCTTCCCTCTCCTATATGTGGGTTATTTTTGTAGTGCCTTTTGTATAGTAATGGTATAAATAGAAAAGTGTCGTGGTGTATCACTTTTCCTTTGTTATGACCTTGGCTAACCTTAATGACCTCAGACACAATGGTCATCAGACTAGGCTATACAGAATATCTTTGGTCATCAATAGCCATAGGAACATCTGTAGTTATCAAACCAGGGGCTCATGTAGGACCTGGAAAATATTAGACAATTAGGTTTGATCTGAGGAAGGGAAAGCTAGCTCCAATTCCTTGGAGCAAGAGGGTTTTACCAACAAATAAAGCTGATACAACATAGGCGATTTTAAAGTATTTGGGGGGAAACCCCCCCCAAAATTTCTGCGAAGGTGCGGGCCTATGTAAAAAAAGATTTGTGCACAAAAAGGCGTCATAAATATGTTTGTAAAATTTGATGTCCCATATTCGGTAGCGCACTCAGCTCACTCATGTTGCTTTACTGTAGAAGGTTTCCCGGTTTTGTCCCGGCCTGGGTCTTTTTCCGACGGTAAACCGCAGGGCCCGCCCCCCTGGGGGGGGGGGTGTTGCTCATCATCTTTTTTCTGCCCTTGTAAAAAGTCTTGCTATGCTTTTCTTGGATGACCCCTCAGGGTGAGGAGTGTTTCTATATGTGTAAGAAAAAAAACACTAGTGTCAGGGGGCCCCAAAGCTGTTCAACTGCCTCCCATCAAAAGGGGATTCCCCAATAACCCCCCTTTTTGTCTTCAAAAAGGCCCTTGGACAGGCACCAAACACAGAATGATCACCCGGGGGCTGTGGTTCATACTTGGGTTTTTGTGTGCGACCAAAGAAAAAGCCAGATTGAAAATCCCCTTACTACCCAGGCCTGGTCATGGATAGGCAGGGCCATTGCCCGGGCGGTGGCCGGGTGGCAAAGGCCCCGCTTACATAAAAAACATAAAAAGGGAACCTGCAGGGGGCCCTTTTGGGCCCTACTGGCAGGTCCTTTACAATTCATTCCCATAACAAAACATTTCCCCAAACCCCAAATTTTCAATGCCCCCCAAGAAATAAGCTTGATGGAAAGTTCCACCAAACCCAAACCCCCTCCATCTGTATTTACCAACCTTTTTTTGAAAACCCCCCAAAAGTCCCAGCCTCAAAACCCAACTAGGTAGACTGTTCCATTATCAACTCCCCTTTTAAAAAAAAAATGAAAGAAAGAAAAATTTTCTTTGGTTTTTTTAACCCCGGAGGGTTAGCCACCCGGATAACCCAAGAAAGTCAGTGCGTCATCGGGACTGCAAATTATTTCCATTGGGGCCCTTAATCGCCCCCCGGGATGCGACCCCCACCAGTCCTAACACCCCGGGACCTATTTGCTGTAGGGTGAAAAAGGCAACAGGTGTAAGGAAAGTGTTGAAATGTTTCCACCCGGGGAATGAACCCGGGCCCTTGTGGTGAAACGGAGCTGTAGCCACCAAAGGGCCCCCGGGGGCCCCCTGATTTTTGGGAATTAGATTGTGCTCCCCGTTCCCCGAATTAAACCCCAATGCCCTTTAATCCCCCCCCCAAAGGGGCTGTAAATTCCCCCGGGTTTAGCGCTTCCCCCCCTTGTTTTTAAAAAATAATAAAAATTTAAAAATAATAATAATATTTCCAAAACAATACTTTTTCCCATGCCCTTTCAATCTAAAAAATTATCTTTTTTAAATCCATTACGCGGGTTCTCTCTTTGGGAAAACTCCCCAAAACCTATTAATACCCCCTTTTTATACCTATTTTTCCCCTTATACACTTTGATCAGGGCTCCCCCCATTCTTGCTAACAAGTGAAAGTAAAATTAAGAGTCTTCAAACTTTTTCTAAGGGAAAATTTCTAATCTATTATTAATTTGTCATCCTGCTGAATGTTTTCTAAAAAATTTTTTGTCCTTTTTGTAATATGGGAACCCAAAATGAGCTGCATAATTTGGTGGGCCTTAATGGTAAAAGCTGCGTTTTTCCCCGGACTTCGTTCTTACACCCTTTATATAAATTTCCCCTAATTATTTGTTTTTACGTCGTTAGGCATTGCGTCTTGGTTTAAGGTTGCTGCTCACCATAAAACCCCAAAAACCCCTTTTGCAATCTGTATGGCTAAATTCTAATCATTTAATTATAAGTTTGGGTTATGGGGGCTCCCGTTCAGAACCTGCATTATCTACATTGAACTGCATCTGCCCCTTTTTGACCAAGAAAAGAGTTTGTTTAAATCCTCTGAAGTTCCTAACATCTACGTTTTAATAATTATCCTACCTATCTTTTGTCAATGGCAATTTGCTCATATCACTAGAATTCCCTCATCAAGATCATTGATATATATTTTAAAAAAACAACAGGGCCCAAAATGATCCCTTGGAACGCCACTTTTACAGACCCATCGGATTTAACCCCATTTATGGGCCACTCTGTTCCTGTAGTGAGCCCTGACTCGATCCCGAGAGATTTTCCCCCAAGCCATTTAGCTGCCCCTTTCTTTGACAGTTTGGTGCGGAACTCTATCAAAAAGCTTACTAAAAACTAAGTAAATAATATCAAATTTTTTATCGTGGTCAAAAGCCTCAAAAGCTTTACTGAAGAAAGTTAATAAAATTTGTTAGACAAGACCGGGCCCCTTGTGAAACCATGCTGAGTATCTTAAACAACTATGTTTTTCGAGTGGGTTTTTATAATTCAGCTAAATTTACTCTGTAATTTGCCTACAATTGAGGTCAGGGTTATTGGGCGGTTTAAAAATTTTAGGTAAGACTTGTCCCCCCGTTTTAAAAATAGGAATTACATTTGCCATCTTCCAATATCGACCTACACCTGTTTGAAGAGAAAAATTTAAAAAAATATTAGTTAAGGGTTCCCGGTTCCATTTTGCATTCCTTAAGAACCCTTAAAAAAACCCCTCATCAGGCCCCGCGACTTTTTTTCTTCAGTCTGCTATCTGCTTCACAAATTTCACTAGTGACTGTGATTTACATAATTTACCTTTTCTAGCCCACTAAAAAATTAATTACTGGAAATTGTTAGTGTCTTCCTGTGTAAAAACTAGAGAAAATAATTATTAAAAATCGGGCCTTTTCATTCTCTTTGTCGTAAGGTCCCCATAGTATTTTTAAGGGACCTACTTGTCTCAAACTTTTTTTTAGCCCGGGAAAAAACTTTTGGATTATTTTTTTAGAATCCTAAAAACTTTAATTCATAGTCCCTTTTAGCTTTTTTTATCCCCTTTTTAATGTCCCTCCAATGCAATGTACTGATTCATAAGAGCCCCCTCACCTTTTTGAAACCCAAAATTCCTTTCTTATCCCTAGTAGATATTTGAGCCTATTATTCATCCTTTTTGGGGGTCTTTCTATTTGATCAATTTCTTTATTGGGTTTAAAAATTCTTTGAGCAGATGTTAGTGTTCAAAAAACTGTCATTTTGATAGCTCATTTCGTTACCCCCATCAAAATGAAAAATGTTCTCTAACCCATCGTATCGCTACGAAAATCTGGGACGTTACTGAGTTATCCTCTATCGACTTCCAATCAATGCTAAATGTAATTGTTTTTGGGGGGTTGCTAGCACCCAGTTCCTCAAATTTTTCCCTAAATTTTTAAAAGGGGGTTTCATTGTTTGCCAAAATTTAAAGGTCAAGCGGGTTATTTCCCCTTGTGGTTTTAAAAAATTTTGAAATTTCAAAAAACAATCCTGAACTATTCTAAAATCGTATGATTTAAACCCCAGCCCAAAAAATTCCAATCAAATGGACTAAAGTTAAAGTCTTAAAAATACTAAATTATCATGCCTTGTGGCCTTAACAATTTCTTCCCTATGTCCCCCTTGGGTCCCAATCTAATTTGGGGGGATGGTATTTCACTCCTAAAATCAGTTTTTCTGCCCCTCTGAAAATTCTACCCAAAACAGACTCTGTATGTTTTTACTTCAACTTAAACCCGTTTTTAGGCAACATTTCAAGGATCTGGACATACAATGTCACCCCCCCCCCCCTTCCCCGACACTTCTATCTTTTTTGGGAAAAATTTTAAAAACCCAAATATGACATTCCGCGGCATGTCCCGATTTTTTAATTAACCAGTCTCAGTTAAGGGCAAATAATCATGTTACCTCACTACAACTAAATTAAAATTCCATTTATTCCTAGCAATACGGCAATACATAATAAAATTAAAGATCTCTTTCTCTTTACCCTTCCTGCCCATTTTGTTTTTTTTACTAAACCCATTACGTCCTTATCCCCCAAAGTCCCGGGTTTTTAATCTACCTCTTCTGCTTATTACTATTCCCCTAGAACTCGTAAAATTACTACATGGACTTCACTGTTTTTTTGCCAAAACCCAACCACAAATATTCCAGTTTAAAGTCCTAAAAAGTCCCTCCACTGCAGTTCCAGTGCTACCCCCCAACCCCAGATAAGGAACCCCATCCCTGGCATACCCCTGTCATTTCTGCCATAGAAAGGTCCCAGTTTGTCAATAATGTTACCGCAAATTTTCCCTTTCAGTAAAATTTGTCCACCAGCAATTGACACCCAAATTTCCCTGGACAACCATTCATTTCCAACTCCTCTCCCTTTGGGAAAATAACACATAGAAGGGGTTTCCCACCCTTAATCCTAATTATTTCTTTGCTGACCATACGTGCTAATAGGGCCTTCACTCCTACGTCCCAACATCGTTGCCTCCAGCACGAGACAGATAATAGGGTTTCCCCATTACCTCTATGTGTCACCCGACGGAAAAAAATCCCCATCCCAGCCCCAGGAAAGCAAACTTCCTACTCCCTGTCCCTTTAAGCAGAAGCCCTATCCATTACCCAACTTGGCTATCCCCAACAAAAAAAAATATTTTACCTTTTCCCTTGGTGTCGTTCTGTGGTTCCCCGTAGTCACTCAAAATTCGTTGGGTACACTGGAAAAATTAGAGTTCCACAACAGTTTCCCTGGCAGTCCTTTCTTCTTAATATTTACCTTTTCCATTCTTTCTTGATTGTCAACTTGTTTCCCCGCGTCCAGACTGACCAGTTTTTCCCTTCTTAATAGGGGCTCAAAA